TAGCTTAACAATCGGTCACACGTAACCATGAGTGTGTTAAAAATAGTGATCCTTTTCACTAGTTTACTTCACAGCTTAATTGAAGCTGAAGTTATTTACAATGGTAGTTCTACGGCTAAGGACGATTGGTGGAAACATACAACATTCTATCAGATTTATCCTCGATCCTTCAAAGATAGTGATGGCGATGGACTGGGCGATTTGAATGGTATTATTAGTAAATTACAATATCTGGTAGATGCTGGAATAACGGCTACATGGCTTTCGCCAATTTCTAAATCTCCTGGAGTCGACGCTGGATATGATATTAGTGATTTTAGAGATATTGATGAAAAATTCGGTACCATGAGTGATTTCGATCGGCTTATTAAGGCAGCCCACGAACTTGGCATAAAAGTTATTTTGGACTTTGTTCCGAATCATGCCAGCTATCAACACGTGTGGTTCCAGTTATCGAAAAACAGAACTAAGGGGTACGAAGACTATTTCATTTGGAAAAAGGGCTATAATTCAACAACACCTCCTAATAATTGGGTTAGTGCAATATTCCGAATTTCTTATTTTGACTTTTACTAATAAGTAGTTTTTGATTAATAACAGTCGGAAATGTACGAACATTCCAAATATATCATAGGTATGATATAAAAGAAGTTTGCATTACTATTTCACTGTAAGCAATACGATAAAAGTATATCTCAAGAGTACTACCATTTAAATTTAATGAAAATCCCATTTCTATGAGTGTATTCCTTTAAGTTTTCTCATAATAGGTAAGATTTTTGAAGTGGGTTTTTGTATTGTTGATACAAAACTTTAAATCTGAAACTCAATCAACAAAGAATAGAAGGTTACAGATAAGGTGGTAGTAGAAAGAGTAGGAGAATAGAGAACGTTATGGAAATTAATAGAAAATAACGAGATAGGTTGGTCGGACTCTGTTTTAGACAAAAAGGGTCAGGTAGAGACATATTACAATCATCAGCGTCATCATTATCATCATCATCATTATCATCATACTACTTCAATAGAAGGAATTATTTTCTATGAATTGGGTAGTTCTTTGAAACTATTTGCACCAATTAGCTGTTATAAAAAATATAAGAATTAAATCGAAAATAAGTGGATAGTATGTATGACCTGTAATTATGTTCTTTTATTTTACTTTATGAAGCTGTCTAGATTCGATTATTCCGCCTGGGAATATGTAGCCGAGAGAGACGAATATTATTACCATCAATTTACCACTTCACAACCTGATTTGAACTTCAGAAATCCTAAAGTTGTACAAGAAATGAATGTAAGCTATAACTGTCCCTTTTTAATTTTAAGATTAATTATTAACAATATTTGTTTTTTTAAAGAACGTGCTGACTTTTTGGTTGGATAAGGGCGTAGATGGGTTCAGAATCGACGCGGTTCGCGCTTTCTTCGAACATCCTGATTTCAAAGATGAACCGCTCGCTGATGATTACGAAAACTACAAACCGTATGAGTACAATTATCTCAATCATATTTATACTACAGATCAACCGGAAAATATAGAAATGATTTATCAGTGGAGGGAAGTTGTTGACAATTACCAAAAACAGAACGGAGGAGAAACCAGGTAACAGCCACGTGTTCAAAATATAAAGAACTTGTACCAATAATGACCATATCATTAAACATTCAAATCCAACAAGAATATAATAGCTATTCAAAAAAAGATATCTCCTGGGTATATAAACGTTTTCTTAGGATAATCATTACCTGCTATCAGCAACGTAGGTGTCTATTGTATATGTATTATTATTTAGAATATTCAGAAGTTAAAAAAAATCTATTTATTTATATATTTGGGGAAGAATATACAATATTACAATATTGCTAATAGTATATACATTCGCTGATACCAATACTTTCCCGTTTCCCTTGCAGGT